GGCCGGCCAGATTCTTTCTTTCGACACAAGCAGCCACGCCCAAATCTGCTTCGATATCGGCTCTTTTTTTATGAAATCTTGAAACAATTGCACGTTGCGCTTTCACATTCAACTGAATTTGGGCGTACTTTAATGTACAAAACGCCGATTTGTGCAAAATGGTTGCCCGAAGACATTCATAATTCGCTGCCAACGCGGTCGCTCCCCAGAGGGCCCAAACATCAACGCCACCGACGATATGGCATTCTCTTCCATACATCAAGGGTGTTTCAGAAGCGACCGAGCGCATTGCTGCGGAGCTAGGTGTTGGAATTGCACACCGCCCCAAAGCCATCATGCGCAGCAGGGTCATGAAAATCAAGGACCGGTTAAAACCTGAAGAGCAGTCTGGGGTAGTGTATCGCATTCCGTGTCAAAATTGTCCTTGTACCTACACAGGGCAGAATGGGCGCATGTTCAGATCGCGCATCAACGAACATAGGCCGGCTGGGCGAAGAGACGACGCATTACCTACAAACCGGGTTATGAGTCTGACATTGCAGCCACCAATATAATCGATTACGCCGGAGATAGGGCAGGCTGAGAGTAGATTGAGTCCTGGGCCTCGGATGAGAACTCAGTCAATCGATTTACCGATCTGGCGCCGGCGTATAGAGCCCTAAGCAGTCACCTCCAGTCTTAATCCATCGATCGATGATTAACTAACACGCCCTATAACTGTCGCTTATTTTTGTTGATGCTACTATTTCTGAAAGTGAGCTCCTGCACGAATTCGAAGGGTCAGAACAATAACCAAACTGTTCCAGTGCTCGACCGCTCTTCATCTTTTATTTCTCCTTGTTTTCTTCTTCTTTTTCTTCTTCATCATCATCATCATCATCATCTTCTTCTTCTTCTACTTCACAAGACGCCTTTTCCGTTGCAGTAAGCGCCACATTTGATCTTGTAAAGGGAAACGTACGAAACACTATTTGGCAAGGGAATGGTTTATTGCCGGGGTTATTTCCTTCGGGGAGTACTTATGATGAGCAAAAAGGCTGAAAACTTGGGAACTTTGTGGTATCATAAATTCTGATCCTCCATATTGTCACTAATTAAAAAGAGAAACACATGTACCATTTAATGATAACAGTAAATGGATTAAATACCGCTTTACAGGGGTTTTCAAAAAGTATTGTATCGTCGTATTTTCACTCTGATGGCTACCTCAAAACATCTTGACCACACTCGCGCGGCAGCCATCGTGAAGTCTTTTTATTTCCTTCTCTGGAATATAAAAATAAATATGACCAGTAATTTTCTTTTTGCACAATTATTCCTCGAATTAACCCCGGCCACAGACTATACCCTTGCCGATTATTTTTTAATAACGCGTTGAATTCTAGACATACTGTTAAAGTTTGAGATAATTTGAATGACATTCGTTCACTCTACTAGGTCAAGAAATATTATGAAATTTTTTAGGACACAGCATACGCTCACCATGTGTTTTGGATAAATATCAGCCTTCCATCAAAATGCGTCACATGCTCGCGAAGGATTCCCAAGACAAAAAAAACAATTAAATTATTACCCGGGACTTGAAGCAAACGCTCCTGGAGACACACGGGGCCGATATCGACGATAAGAGCAATTTTTCAGACTAGAAAACATGCAATTTAAGCTGTCCTTAAAAACATGCTAGAAACATGTTGACACCAACTAGGTTGAGCGCCTATTGTAAACATTGAAGGGAAAAAGTAGCGGGCGTCAGAAACGGAACTAACAGCATTCATTATGTACTTTTAAACAATAATCAGCGTCCCGTCAGAATATATTACATGTTTGTAAAGATAAGCAGCTATTAAATTGCTACCCGAGACAAAAAACCTCTTCGTTAGGTAAATAAGACCGACCTCGACGGTTAAAACATGTACTTCCCAAACTGTTGAGCATATAACTAAAACCCTCCCACTCGATGAAAGCTGAACGTAATAATTGGGCGTCGTAACTGAAACCATCATTCATTCTCTTCCGGTGCTCCAGGCCTTCTTAGGTGTGTGTGGGAAGGAAAGTGAGATGGATGCGTCGGAATTCCACTTCACCGTGCACAAACTCACGCGCAAATAACCACTGCACTACAAGACGGACGCGGTGATGCTAGCCTTGTCACTTTGTGATGAACGAACTGAGAAAAGGGAAGTGCTAACCAGATCGAGGGAATTGTTTGGCTGAAGTTTCGAAGTGCTTGGACGACTCTCCATTATCAAAACGTCTAGTGCGAAAATCGATCAGAATTTTGAATAGACAGCCGAATTAATTGGCCTTGTGCTGATAGATTTTTTCTTCTTTTGCTGCTTTGGCCTACTGGCCGTCGTTTGTAAGTATTGGTGGCCTCCTGCATTGTGACTCGTCACCTCAGTTGGGGTTACTTGCGTTTGTGTCTCCCTTTTGACTGAATTGGTCGACATGACGTGTAGTCTTGGCATTTTTAAGCTCCGTATGACGGTCTTGTCCTCGTCACGGCGTATGTTGCAGTGTGTTTGAACCCTTTGGAACAGAGTACGGACACAAATGCGTTTGTGAGAGAGGGGGTGATAGCTGCTGAAGTGTTGGTGGGTTTTCTGAAAACGGTAGTTTGTAATTGCCCAGTTGCACACCGACACACAAGGACATCGAGGATGGGAAGTTGGTTGTTTGTTTCAGCATCCATCGTGAATTGGATATTCGGGTCAACCGAGTTCAGTAATTTTTTAAGGTGCTCCACCTCGGAAGATCTGACAACTGCGAAAGTGCTTTGTGGCAGATCGTCACTCATTCTGCGGTTGCGGACAGAAGAAAACCGTCCTGTAAGGAGATTTGGTAAGGTGAAAACCGAGGCCAGAAATGAAGAGGGAATACAACGTAAGCTGAGGGCAGTTGTGAAAGGCTACACTTTAGCCGACTGAACTTGCGTAAGTCCACAGTTCAAGCGGCGAAGTTCATGGACAGATCTTTTGATGACCGACCCAATAAATAATCTAATTCCGTGCCAAATGAACTTTTTTTGAAACCAGTTCATCCGGGAGTCAACTTCAAATGTTCCCCAGAAATATCAGGTGCTCAAATTAGACGTCGTTTTCCTGAGTACATGTTCGTCATACATGACGCACACTTAGCCCAGACAAAACTGTCTCCAGAAGGTGAAACGTCGGTGGATAGCAAGTTAAGTCATATGTTTTGGCCCATAACATAGAACGCGTTCTATGAACTGATATTCTTGTATAGTGGTTGGAGCAGATTTCTCGGTTTGTCCAAAGTGGTCGGCACCACGACTGGCATGAAAGGCAACTCCCTCAAGTGGATTGAAATCATCCTTGTGGGTGGACAGAAGATTATGTGCATCGGTCGAGGAAAATCAGATCCTGCTGTGGTCGAGAATGGTATTCCCCAGAATTTGCCACTGTAACCCATCTTGTTCCTAGTATACGGGGACGATTGTGCAAGAGCTTTGGACTGCAGTGTTCGCCGGGGCTCTGCCAACGAAGAAAGACTGCAGATGAACCTAAATCGATTGGAAGTGTGGTCAAAATGGTTCAACTTTGGTAAATATAGCGTACATCGCCCAAGCAACACAGCCATGTTCGCCTGTACAGAAGACTATTTTCTGGCCTAAAAGGACCTCGGTGTGCTGACGACGAGTTCCCTAAAACCATCCGCTCATTGCTCGAGAGTGACAAAAAGCGCCATGTCCATACTATGCGCCATAAGGCGTGCATTTCTGAATTTGGACAAAGACTTTTTCCCAAAAACATCCGTGCAGCAGCATTTGGAGTACGGCATACAGGCCTGGAGACCGTGGGCAGTTCAAGACAAAAACTGCCTCGCAAGAGTTCAGAGGAGAGCCACGAAGATGGTTAGGGGTCAAAGCTCTTTTCCTTATGAAACCCGCCTCTTCCCTTTGAGGTATAGGCAGTTTTTGCGAGGATCCCTAGCAAGCATTTCGCATTGTGAAGCAGTTGGACTGCAACCTGGAATTCGAGGACTTTCTTGAATTAGCTGCCACAACCATCTCCGAGGTCACCCCTTAAAACTGCGCAGTCAACAGGCAATGCTGGATGCGCGGAAGTCCTCCTTCTCTGCTCGAGTGGGCAAACAATGGAATGCTCTCCCTGAAGATATTGTGATGTCACCATGGATGCACAGCTTTAAAAAGAACTTTCACCTTTTAGTGTTCTGAAATAACCAAGAGCGATGACAGATCGAGCTCATCGCCTGAGACTTACTTCCATTTTGTCATACCATTATGGGCTTGTTTAAATTATTTCAGCCCAGCTAATTTATCTGCACACTGCACCCAGTTTTACGTTGCAAATACGGTTCTCAAAGACTCACGTCTATTTCCCTCAACAAAATGGACTGAACCGAATTGAACTGAACATGGGATTTTTTAAACATCGCTTTTCCTATCTTTGTGACCAACCCCGTCCTTAGGGCATGCAAGCTGTGTGCTCAAGTTAATTGCCGGTTGACGTGTTAGTTGTATCTAATGTATTTTGTGATTATTCTGCCCGCTGATCAATTCTAAAACCCCGCCTAAGTAATTCTTTTTAATTATAATCACATCTCTGGTAATACTTTAATGTTCCCCTCTGCGCGATAGTGAAACTGCCCGGCAGAATTGAACTGTCAGATGCAAGCGCCCTCCAGTCATGAATCACGCAATAGGTGTTTGTGTGATTTTTAAAGTAGCGAAAGTAATTCGAATTCATCGTTCTTGTCCAAACTGTTCGACCTCCTTTCATCTGGTCGATCAGGCATACTGAATCAACGGCAACCGGCAAATGTCATATGCCGGTAGCCAGGATGGAAAACAGTAAGCCAAGGTTGTGCAGGCAGCGATTGTTAGCAATTTTGTTTGGGCGAAAGCATCCCTGACGCTGATTGGCTGGTGGGATGGAGCGCAAATACTGGTTCATCAGGAGTTGGGCCATGCTACTTAATGCCCCCGCAAGCCACAGGACGAGAAAAAGACACGAAAAATGACTACAGACTACACGGTGTCGAAGACCTTCTGGAAGTGTATTGACAGGACAGATTGGCCAGATTTTATTGACGTCAGCGACTACATCCTTGAGTGTGTAGGCATCTTCCTCAACACCCTGATATTGGTCCTCATCTCGAAGAAGCAATCGGGTCCGAGAATCAGTCTCATTCTCCTACGCGGTATGGTGGCCTCTTATTTGCTTTCGACGGTTATTAATTTTCTGAGTGATATCTATCCACATAGTGTGCGCACCGGCAACTACCACTTTAACCGTTTGGTCTGTCTTCTCTGGAACAGTCGCTTCTTCTACTGGATCTTCAATGTCATGGGAGGGATGTTTCTGGCTATCTTTGCTGTTGACCGCTACGCCATTTTGGCACAACTGGACCGTTTCCGAATAACGGTACCCGAGTACCGCGTCCCCAGCTACGTGGTCTTTGTCGTGATTTCGTCTCTTCTTCTCTCGCTACCTCAGTTACTGACAGTGAACTTGCAGGGCGATACTTGTGACTGTGCCCCCATACAGGTGAATATTCCCTTCCTGGCACTCGTCTACGCCCATGTCTACATCTGGTTCAGCCTTCTGTTAGTCTTTGAGGGTAGCCTCCTCGTGTATATTTCCGCACAGCTGATACGCTGGAGACAGAACTGGCTTCCGGCCAATCACAACTGGCGACTGGATGACGATCTCAGTGCATTGAGCCTGAAACGACCGACAGCGTTGGGCATACAGAAGCGAGCTAAGAAGGGGCCTGCCAACAGCAGCACCCGCAACGACAAATGCCGCAGCTGGTCCTCGGCCTCCTTCTGCATTCTACCCTTGACAGCGAGTTATGTGCTCACCGATGCCTACGATTCAATTTATCAGTTTCTCAGCGCGGTCGGACTAACGACCTTTATCATCAACAGCCCGGAACAGAGGGTAGGGGCGATGTTACTCCTGGTTCATTCCACGGCAGTGCCTCTTATCCTGTGCTTTTACATTCCCTCATTGCGAGTCGACCTGCAGAGGCTGTGGAAGAAGGCCTTCACGCAGAGGTCCAACCCTAGCGTACCGTAGACGATGCACAGACGAACGCCAACCCGTTCCAGTCATGACTACAAATGCCCTCTTTTACTAATTCATGTTTGTATGATTTCTTCCAGGCGAATAAAATATTTCGTAAATTCCGTTCCTCTTCCTCAAACAGGCTCAAGGCGCTGGTTGTTGAAAGTTCCGGTTTACCGCGCCGGAGAGGATCAGGACAGGTCAAGGTATCCAAACTCGCTTCGAGGAGAACTCCGCCCAGGCGGCGTCCAAAGTCTGCTTGGGAGAAGGTTGTCATTGCGTCTGGTAATCCGCTCCTCACCCTCACTTCCGAGGTCTTATTAAACCGTCCAGTGGCCGTAAGTGGCCTATGTTTCCGGTTTGCACAGGCTATTGCCACAATATCGATGGGGACTCACAAGCATCTCTGTCCCTTGCGACTGTCACTCTCGACACGCAATCGGGAGACTTCAGTCGTGTGGATGTTTCAAGGAGGGGGTATATCATGCAGTGGGTCCTTAAGATATCGCTAACCGGGGAGACCCCGAAATGTACAATCATCAGAGTACTGCCTGACGAAGGGAGAGAGAGTGTGTGTACCGATGTGCTCAAACTTCAAGGCATGTGGGCGTCTGCTATACTAGTATCAGCAAACCATGGCCCTCACAGACTGGTATGCGCTCGCAGTTCCTTGACACCTAGTTACCTACCGGTAGATGCGATCGTGCGGCCGCTGGGTATACAGGTCGTAGGCATGGCTCCTCGGTCATCCTCCTCGTCCTTATGACCCCTGTTGGGGTGTCTTTTCTGGTGAAAATCCTGGTCAAGTGTATATTGTGCACCAGGAGGTTTGGAGTGGAGTGCCAAGGTGCGGGCTCGTCCGAGCCAGTCACCTGCGCCCTCCCCCGCCTCCGGTCTTCCTGACTCTCTCTTCACACCGGGTTCATGTGGGGGAGGAGAGAGTGCGGTAGATGCTGCGCAAATCTACCATCATCACAAACTAATTCACACGCAAGTCACCGTGTCTGCTTCACCTTTCAGTGGAGCACACAGTCGACGTTGTCGGCAACGACGGTCGAACTGTCTTCTGTGTATTGTCTATGCATTAACGTATGTGTGTTGTATGTGTACGGATGTCAGTACTTTAATAACGGAGGCGAGTTTGCTGACTCGGGAACACGACAGTAAAAATACATTCAAAGGAGAATAAAAAGTTCCCAAGTCACACATTCAAGTTGATTTAACTCCTGACTCTCTGGACAGCAGGCGTTTTTAGATAATTCTCAATTTCCAATTTGCGTAGAGGCCTTCTCTGAGAAACCCATAGCATATAATTCTTTGCCGACATTAATATCTTTCCTGATACTGCCATTCAAACGAATGCAACGTTTAAGTGGCAAAAATGTCAAAGCTACGCATTAGCTGAATGGACGTCTGTCCTTCTCTGCACGTTGGTACGGATTTCAAGATACCTATAAAACGGCTTCCCTGTGTGCAAACTTCAAGGCATGTGAGCGTCTGCTATACCAGTATCCGCAAACCATGGCTCTCACAGACTTCTGTGCGTTGGCAGCACTCTGACTCCTGGGTCCCTGCCGGTAGGTGCGTTTGCGCTCCCTCTGGGTATACAGGTCGTGAGCATGTCTACCCGGTAATCCGCGTTCTCTGACCTGTCGCGGTGTTCTTGTTGCTGTTGGTTAAAATGTCGGTCAAGTGTTTATTGTGGATCAGAGGGTGTGGAATGAGGCACCAAGGTGTGGGCCTGGCCACGCCAACCACCTGAGCCCTCCCTCGACTCCGGCCTTCTTGACTATGTTTTGACGCCAGGTCTAGGTGGGGGCGGGGTTGAGGGGTGGGGGGAGGAGGAGTGGAGAGCGGTAGATGCTACCTAAGTCTACCCTGACTACAAACTAATTAATACGCAGGTCGCCATGTCTGCTCCACATTTCAGTGAAGTACATGGGAGGCATTGTCGGACACGAGCGTCAAACTGCTGAGTTCGCTCTGGAGGTCAACTGATTCGGCTCCACTTGGTTGCTTTTAAATTACCTCCTGCTAACGGCAAAAGCTCTCACGCATGACAGTGCTATTGGCAGGGTTAACAGCAGGTTAGCTCTTTTAGCTCACAGCCTGATAATCCTTCAAATGGTGACCCCGACGTCACGGCAACTTCCCATATCATTACAGTCTCTAAAGAACATTTGAAGTTTGCGAGAACGCAGAAGGCACCGTGGTAGGCCACAATCTAAAGCCCCCTAAATTGCAAATATAGGCACATCCTGCACAAAGCACGATAGAGGACGCTAATGTCTTGAGATATAAGCCGTAAAGGATGATGATTGCCTGGGCAGGTCTTTGGTTGTCGCGTGGTCGGCTTAGAATGAACCTTTCTTATTAGGTTTATCAAAATTATCATGTTTGGGGTAATAAATGGCGAAAAAATATTGCGCAGCTGATCACCAATGTTCTCCTTGCATTCTGGGGAAACTGTAGGACGTGCGCTGGAGTACGCCAGCGAAGTCGGGTTTATCCGTCACTCAATGCGGTAGAAGAAAACGGGACGAAATTGTCAAGATTGAATTAGTCTCGCACCTAGCCACAGTTTAACGCCACCAAGGACGGCTAATAAGCCCGTAAGAGCCACCCGAGTCGTTCCTGTCCCTGCCGGTACTCATTCCCGCATCACTAATGACCGTCATATTACCAACTCCGAGTTCCCCAGATTAAGATAGGAGAAGCAGTCGGATGAGCATGGTCCGTGAACTCATAGGTAACCAACCCACCCACAATATAGGCTTTGCTTTTAGCCTATAGCCGGCCAATAGTGGGCTTAACCTGTTGTGGTGCCTGGCATGCTAATTCAAGGCCCTACTGCGTCAAGGGCATTCAACTTTGTGGCGAGCGGTTTTGGGCACGCTGACCTGACGCCATTCGATCGGCTTCAGCTCGGATACGCGCCCGTCCACATCGTCGCAGCTGCTGATGCGTCACTTGAACATACCGCCTCTCAGCCAATACAACTTAGGTCACTAGAGGCTCAGTTTCTCGGTAAATGCAACAAGCCTTGACACTTAAACTTGTTCCTCTCAAGCCTACCAAGACAGCTGCCACCATTTGTCTTATTCTCTTTTAGGCATGTCTGCACACAGTCCGCACAGGCCCTGACCTGGCTAGTAACCACTGTCGCCTTAGTGGTCAATTCAGGATTCTATACCCCTAATTTTGGTGACCTCTGTTGTTTCCTACAGATCAGTATTTGGCCTGGTTATTGCCACGCTCTCACCGCCTAGACGCTACAGAAGTACATACCAGAGTTTTGCCTGTAAATTGGACAGGATAAGTCCATCCTTCTTTGCTTTAGACGATATTATTCCCCAGTTATCGATTTTTAGCCGACATGCTACTGCCTTCAAAGTCTCTAGGCCGTGACTCCGCGCTAAAGCGAAACGCTTTCGGCTAGACCGGATTGGTGCAGTTCATTGCCGTGTGACCTTGAATGCACCTGACTGCAGCCAATCAGTCGTGGGTGAGGGCTCAGTGCTAGGACGTCTGGCGTCACATATAGCGACGCAGAGTTCAACGATCAAGCCCTTCCGGACGGATTTGAAGCATGACGTCTGGGAACTACAAATAAACAGGAAATTGCCGTTCCAGTTGGCCCTGTCTGACTGTAAAATATCCGTGCCGTTTATGCTGTTTGCCACCTTCTGTTTCCTACGTCACATTTTGCGCCTAGAGAGAGCTTGCAGGTGGGGTCAAACCCGAAATGTGTGACGCTCCGCTTGTTCTCACTGCCGAGACCCTACAAACCCAAGGTCGTAGCCCATATCCTAGGCCTAAATGCAACGCCAAAATCTAGTTCAAACCACGATTATAACTGTCAGCTTAATTCAAAGCTTTGTACCAATATCAAAACGATTTTCAGAGGGAAATCCTGTAAGTGGCTGTGAATCACCTGCGTTAAGTCGCACCGAAGGCAAACTGTACCTTGAAACTCATAAAAAACGACGGACAGTTCTCGAGTCGTCCTTAAATGGACGAGGTTACTTGGACGACAGGCAACACAGTCAGCAACCAAGAGGCCTTTCCTTGAGTCAGCCCTTTCGGATACCCATGTCAGGCGCGGTGTTTATTTACACCCGTTGACCTTTAGTGCCCTCAAAAATTTGCTTTCTTTCGTTCAGGAGGAAGCATAGCACCCAGTTACTTAGTTCTTCGCATGATTCTCATATTCTAACCGATAGGATGCGACAAGAGTTCACCTTCTCGACCTAGCAGTCTTACAAGCTCGTCTATGTCATCCTCTTCCATTTCGAACTGTCCCGAAACATGTCCCTAATCGTTTTATAGGCTGTGGAGTTTGTGTCCTGTCTAACACTTAAAAGCCAGAAGAAACCTTCCAGTTGTTTTATGCACAAAACCCGCTTATTTTAAAGAGCTAAAACAGTATGTGTGACTAATGTATCATGCCAGCATACTGCCCAATCGACACCGTACATTCGTCCGCATCGGCGCTGAAGTAGGTACATCCTTGCTGGTATCTGCCAACCACGTGCTATTCCAACGCACGGAAATATTGAATGTTCCCCCGCAGCAAGTCCCTCGTAATGGGATGGTTTCTCACAGGCTTTTAGGCGCAGTTTCAGCGTACCATGTAGAACTAGAACTCGGCTGCGACTGTGAACAATTCAGGTCAGTCAAATCGCAGAAATGTGCATGAGCATATCGCGATATGCGAACTACAGGGTGACGGATGTGATCGGACGATGGCGTCTGCATCCAACTTTTACGCATGTCTCAGTTTGCACTAGTAGAATATATTCTGCTGATGCAGATACAGTAGGTGGGCTGACTTATGCAATGTCAATCGGAATTCGGAAATGCGTTTTCGTCTTGAAACAACTTAATTAAGTAGGTTTGTAAAACTAATCAGCCTGTAGCATAATTCTATGATAATTAAGTTACCTCGGGATGCCGGCCTTGAATGAACTTCTTTCCAGCTGCATTCGAAAGCCATGCACTGTAAAAAATGA